AAAAAAAAAGATCAGAGAGGCTAATCAGAATAACTATTAACTATTTAAATGTAATGTCCAGTGTTATGTTTAAAGGTAGCCTAAAGTTCACTCAAAAATGAAAATTTGCTGAAAAAAATTACAGATTTGGAGAGAGTCCAGTCAGCTGATAAAAACATCATACTAATCCAGAAGTAATCCACACCACTCCGTCAGTTAACATCTTGCATGTGAAGCTGAGTGCCAATGTAACCCATTAATTCAGATTTTTTTCATCCAACAACATTCCAAATACAGTGTGATTTCTACAAAAAGTCATTGGACCTTTGTTTCCAACCAATAAGACATCTTTCTGGGAAGATTTCTTATTGGTTGGAAACAAAAGTCCAATGATTTTTTTCTAGAAATCATATATTTGGAGTGCATGCAGTAAAAGATTATCAGTTGTTGTTTTGGTCAAAATTAAACTGACACCTTAAAAACTCTAAAATGCTTTTATTGTCATTGCACAGCTAGCTGTACAACGAAATTCATGGGCAACTCCAAAATAACACTCAACAAGCAAAATACAGAACAGAAAGTAACACATAACTCGACATAGCCACAAGAGTAGATCAATAAATAAACAATATAACTTATATTGCACAGTCCGTAATATGTAGGCTATAGCACAGTCCAGTGTATAATGTAAATATATACACACCATTAAATAGGCCTACTAAAGGTGAGTATCCTTTGGGAGCTATTACTTACGTTTTATTACCGACGGAAATCACGCCTTTTCTCCCGCTTTCTTGCCCATTCAAACATGCACGTGCACAGGCACTTGTTGTCAGCGTTGCCCCGCGAATTTATCAATGAAATATGTTCACAGCTGAAAGGCTACATGGCATTTCTCAGTGTGGTGTTTTTGAAGCAGTTAAACTTACAGTTTCGCTATGAGCAGAGACGCTGCTGCCGAACGCTGTCCAGAGACGCACAGACTCAGGTAATTCACAGTTCATCTCTCTTTCCAATAACTGCATTAGCCTACTCTGCATATAAGTTATTAGCTCTAACATGACATTTTGTAATTAGCAACGGGAGGCTTGGGAATCGGGATGAGCTAAATTAAACTAAAACCTGACAAATGTCTTGAAATAAAACTCGAACAGTGTCTTGAGGTGTGATAATAGTCGGAATAATTCCGGTCTGGTGATTATTAGAAAAAGAATGCATAATGCGACCACAATACTGGAGTCCTTACTTAATAGCATTTTCCTTAGCCTACTTAATTTTAATTAATTTACTTTGCCTATGTCACCTATTTCTTATTTAATTTTAATTTATTTATTTTGCCTATGTCACCCGCCCTGATAATGATGTTATTAAGCCGTTCAAATTTGAACACCAAAACAAAGTGTTATATATTATTATATATTAGTTTATAAAATTGTTAATGGAAAAGGTTGCATTTAATTAGAACAATATAAAACAGAAACAAATCCTACTAGATCAGACTTTTGTACAAATAACGAGCGGCTGTGTTAACAGTAATAAATGGATTTAAATCCTCAACCATAAACAAAAGGGATGGAAATAATGTTGATGAGCCAAAGCCTGGAAACTGGACATCACAAGGGAAATGGGCTCTGCTAAATGAAATGTAATTAAGCAGCAATCGAAGGATGCCTGAAGCAGCGGGTCATATGTAGGAAGTGGCAAAGTGAGACATCCTGGAGCCTTCTGGGGTGAATCAGCAGAGAAGGGTGAGGACAGCTGCCACCAGCCAGACTACAGGCTCCTGAAGTGGGCACAGAGGACACGCGTGCTGTGCAAGTCTGTCACAACGGAGAAAGATTAATGATGGGGCTGAACCTAATCTCACTTACCAGCTATTGCCTGCTGACCCGAGACTGCTCCAAGTCTACAGACTACCACTGCGTGCTCCACCTCCAGTGACCCTCCACCGCCATCCCAGAGAAATCACAACATCGGCGTTCAGTAAGATCCGAAGAACAGAAAAAATCAGAATAGCTGCTGCTGTCCTTTGGTCTCCAGAGACACAAATAGTCACACTTTTTTTAACAACTCCTAGTATGGTATATGCAATGAAATCAGAGAAAGGCTAAATATTTAACTTGCCATCATGATATGGCACAGACAATGACTTCATATTCTGCCAAGTCTGTAACCAGAACTTTATAAGCTTCTTCCAAGTTTAGGATGCTCTTATAATAAATCCCAATGATAAACAAAGGCAATAGTTTAGATATTTTTCTATTACTACAAACAAGCTATCAAATAAATAAACAAATAGACTATCAAAAATATATAATATAATATAATTAATATATATATATATATATATATAAAAATAAAAAAAATTAACTGGTAACTGAAACAGTTTTGTTAACTGAAGATACATTAATGAAAATAAATAATAACAATAATAAATAGATTAAGAACTTGAGAAATGTTGCCTTGGCAATTAACTGAGATACATTAAAATTTAAAATAAATGAAAGCAAAAAAAAAAAAGATTAATTCATTAAAAAAATTAATAAAAATAATAAAAGCACATTACTAAATTAATAAAACTTAAATTAAAATAAAAATAGTTCAAATTAAAGCTAATTCAAAATATTTATAAATACTATAATAGTTGACAAATAATACTAAAATAACACTCGCATGAAAATATGGTGCTTTGTATTTCCCAAAAAAAGTCAGTCATACTTTATGAAACAATTTATAAAAAAAAAAACCAGTACATAGTTTATTTCTATTAAGGAAAAAGGCAAACATACAAAAATGCCCGTATTAGACACAGCAATGCCATGCCTTGTTTCCTCAGAGCTTGTGATGTCCTCTGCTGGTCATTTCTAAAACTGGAGATACTAATGCATTTGAACAAGATGGAAAAATCCATAAATGAAAAAATGTTTCCATAAATTCTTTTTTTTTTTTTTTACAAAATGGCAATGGTCAATTATGGGAAACAACAACAACATGCTCTGCGAGTCAAATGATTTTCAAGTCTTCTACACAGATATGATAACCACTTAGACTAGACTTCTATCTGGGTTGCCAAGCCAGTTTTTGCAAAAGGATGAACATTATCCTTTTTTCTGTAGAGGAGCTGCAGGCAGTAGTTATTTATACTTGCAAATGATACCTTGATCATTCAGGAACTCCTAATATGAGAACTGAACATCAAAATATCTTTGAACTATTTACACCATTCACCTCAAAACAAGTAGATTAATCGAATGAGCCATCGATTAAACCTCTAATGAGGCAGAATACGCTTGAACACATGAAAACTCTGGTCCTCAGGAGTCATTGGGAAGTCCAAAGAGCTTGACGGTCCCTGCCTCTCGGTTGCTGTCATATTTGCCCTCTTTATCGTCGCAGGCGTACGCCAGCAGCGGTCTCTTCGGATGCCACGCTACAGTGAAGGTCGGAGACTCGCACTGAATCTCCCAGAGCTTCTCACCTACAGCAAGAACACGAAACAACCATCAGTCAGACAGAAAACACAATTCAAGCTTTCACGATCATTTCAAAATGTGTCTGCTCACCCGTCTCTACTTCAGCAATGTCAATGAA